CAGTAACGAAGTACTTGTACTTCGTTACTTCCCACCACTGGTGGAGTGGATAACTCATACATGGGTATGTCATGATGGGTTTAACGGATCTTACCCACATGCATGAACACCATAAGAGACGGATGAAATATGAAAAGTTTATCTACAGAAAGCAAACAATAGAGTTGAAGCGGGTCCAGAAACTGTACGGCTGCTCTCGGTGCACTGAGAAGATAAGAGGAGGGTGGTGAGTTCAGGTTGCTGGGAAACAGGAGGTTGCAAATGTAAAATTCGTAAACTTACTCGCTCTGTGCGTTCAAACGGCTTAGAGAGGACTGGTAGGTCCTGGGATTCCTTCAAAGCTATTGAGTCTCTTCTCCGTGGAGCTTGGTGGTTCGGAGAGTGGGGCTGAGTGGCCGTCAGTGGTATGGAGAGCGGCGTTGGATGGCGGACAGGTAGGCTTGTCCATGAAGGCGGCAGAGTGCAGGTGGAACGGCCGGTCGGAAACTTCAGAATCTCAGGCAAAATCTACGGAAACAGATGAGGCTTGGATCTCAGGCATCTATGGGGTAAAGAACTCACGACGTCGTGAGGAGTGAAGAGAGGACAGGTAACCAGATTCAGATGAATCCATCTGAATCTGGTTACCTGGTTACCGTCGAAAATAATTGCAGATGCCATTGAAGCAAAGTGTGATTCTACAAAGTTTGAACTCAGAAAGGCAATATGCAAATGCACAGCACAAGATTTTATTTGTAAAACATTTTGAATGTGCATCATTTTCCTTTCATCGTCACTCACAGTCCCAATGAAATACACTGCAGCGTGTGGCTGTAATGGGACAAAATATTACAAGGTGCGAATTACTTTTGCAAATAAACAGAAATATTAAATTTATATACACATGGAGTCGCCTTAAAAGCAGGACCCCAGCTTTTAGACAAACTGCTTCACTAGCTCTGGTCCACACCGTAAAGAAACTGCGGCTGTAGATTTCTGAAGTCACGTGCTCTAATAATTAGATATGGCGCTTACATCATTTTCTCAACTCTGGAAACTCCTTTCAGCAGCCTTTCCTTTTCCCTTTCGGCTTCGCCCCGTGGTTTTCACCGAGAGCGACGGTAATTAGAGCTTTTTAACGCTAACAGTGAACACCAGACAAAACTCCCCGTAGTTCGGGCTAAAAGTGCTTGGAAGCAGCCTCCACCCAGGATGATGCTGGGAGTGCGGAGCGGCCACCGTGGGGCGGCTGTGTGCGGCTCCGCCGTCGTCTCACACAGGGATGGACCGTCCAAGTTACCGCGCCTGTGTCTGCTGAAGGCTGGCAACACACACTGACACAGAGGCAGAAGTGATGGGGAACAACTCCCACCTTAGCTAGAGCTTCACTCGCACCTTCATTTGGTAATTAAAATTAGCCACACACTGAGAGAGTCCATAAGGAATGTGGGGGAGCCAGGGCAGGGGGCTGCTGGACGCTGTTTCACTGCCGCTGGTCGTGGCTGTGATGTGCTGCGCCCAGAGGTGAGAGTCTCTGTCGGGGGTCCGACCGGACACCAGAGTGTTCTCCACCAGCACTGACAGCCTTTGTTTGGTGTTTTTCAGCGTCAACGAGCCGGGAAACATGTCGTTTGTCAAAGAAACTGTGGACAAACTGTTGAAAGGATATGATATTCGTCTCCGGCCAGACTTTGGAGGTATGACTCAGGCTATTTATTGCTATTGTTATATTTAATATAAATGTTTCTCCAACTGTTCTTTTAATTTTAGGGCCGGTAAACCAAATTTTCCTTTATTTTATTGTATTTTGTTTGTTTTCATTTTAGGTCAACCGGTTGCTGTTGGCATGAGCATTGATGTGGCTAGCATAGACATGGTATCAGAAGTTAATATGGTAAGTTTATACCTAAGCTGTTTGTGCTAAACTTTTATCACATTGTGGGAGATGGGTTGAGTTGCTTGGGTTGTGAAAATCTTAGAAGTGAGTTTTAAATGGGCAGTATGTTGTAAAATTGACTTTTTTGAGCTTTACATCATGTTATCATATTCATATTATCCCCTCATCAAAAACATACTTTCATGCACGTTTGAGAAATCCTTTCATCTTCCCATGGCAACCAGCTTTGCAAATTGCTTGGGAAGTACTGAGTGCCACCTTCGAGGACGAAGCTCCTCCTCTGAGGTGCAGTTTACAAGCTTTTACCTCACAGAGCAGCACTCTGCCTCTGCTCCTCTGCTCAGCTCCTTCAGACTAGCCAGCAGCAATTAGCAAACGCCTCGTGGAACTGTATATCTGCTGAGGTAGGAGCTACTTCTCAGTGCAATGATGGTAAAAAAAAAAAAAAAAAAAAAAAAGGAAGTGAAGATGGTCAGTGAAAAGTCTCATGTAGGCTCTGGTTTTCAAAGTCTAAAGTAAACAAATTATCTCCCATATCATTACACCACCACCATTGATGTAAGCCTAAGGGGAGTCCATGTCTTCCTGTTGTTTATGCCAAAATCTGATCATACCATCTAAATATCACTGAAGTTTTGACTCATTAAAGCAGGCAATGTTGAACAATTTGTCACTGTCCAGGTTTGGTCAGGCTGTGTGATCTGTTGATTCTGTGGTCAGAATCACATCTAACATCATATTGTTAGATGTTCATATAACAATATGAACATCTAGAATTATGATTATTGTAGCTAAATTCATTTTCATTGTTAATATGTTTTTGTTAAAAGAATCAAGAGAGCACAAAGTTACTCGTATTTTCATATGTTCTTGAGGCTCTTATTGTGAAGGTTTCCAGGAAGTTCTGTCTTTGTGTATCTACTGCCTCCTGTTTCCACACAGTAGATGTTTGACAAACTAACAAAAAGCACATTATTTTGTCCCGCCGAATTTAAAAGCAGAGCCTCGGCTACAAGGCTGACAGTCCAAGAAAAGTTAGAAACAACTTAAATAAACAAACTAGGGCTGAAACGATTCCTCGAA